TCGCATCGGCACATGCAACAGGAAATTCATTTACATAATTTTTGCGTTTGGCCATTTCGCATCCTTTGCGCTTGACTGGGCATTATCCTTTTAATAAGCGAGTGGACGGGGAGGGATATCCAGGCGGCATGGCAGGCACATGGCAAGCCGTGTGGATAATCAGCCTATCAAGGATTCAATTATATAATGAGCTTAATTTATTTTGCGCCGCTTTACGCACTTGCAACAGCAAGGACAGGACGGCCTTGTTTCGTGGGTCCGATGATGTTCATCATCATCATCATCATCATGCCATGCCTGAACTGAATTATCCTCGTTAATGTTGCTGTTTTTGTTGTCCATGGATGTTGTTTTTCCTCCGCTGTCGCTGGCAGTTTTCCTGTGACATGGAAAGGATATGCCATGGCTTCGTCTTTTGCTCTTTTTTTCCAATGATTTATTTCCACATAATTGTTGCTTCGCAAAGTCCGGCACACAACTTCGCACTTCCTGGCTTGGCTTTTTTAACCCTTTAACCGATTACGGCCAAGAAGAATGGGAATCGTTAATGGGCTTGATGACTCTTTATGGTTGACATTAAGATGAAGTAAGTGGGGAATTTATTGAAGGTACTTGAGTGTAAGCTTTCCGGACAATTGAAAAAAATATTTATTCAAGAACTAATTAAATGATTGGCAGTCGTAACGTAGATAATAATATTTTTTTCGAATTTGTAATCATAATTAATAAATCAAAGGTGTTTTTAAGATCATCAGACTTCAATTGTGAAAGAAGAGAAAGCATGAACTCTTAACTTTTTCCTAATTTAGATGCGAAAACAATTTCCGGCACTTAGGCAATTGAGTTCCTTATAACGATCCTACCTTCCTAACTACTGCAGACAAATGGGCGAGAAAACATTAATAACACCATTTAGGGGCGGATAACCGATAAAACCAAAAGCCACAAAACAGTTTAATTTATGAGCAACAGGAACAAAGTTCAGCAACAGCAGCAGTACAAGACCAAATGGAGACCTATTCCCTGGGTCTAATCATCCAATCCAGCAAAGACAAAGCCTACGAAAGCAACAGGCCCACAAAAAGAGATGTGCCTACGCTGATAAAAGTTTTGTGGCAATTTGATTTATGCGGCGGATTTTTATCAGCCAGAGGAGGATTGGATTGGGTGCCTGGTGAAAAAGGTGCCAAATTCAACGCCAAGCCAAATACAAAACCAAACAACAATTACAATTGTGAAATGCGTTTCTGTTTGCTATTTAATTTTCCCCCAGCTGCTGACTCAATTTCGCGCACACAACGAAAGGCAATTACTTTAATTATGCGACTGTGCTGCATACAAAAACAAAACCGAAACCAAAACCCAATCACAGGGGCGACGACAAGCCACCGAACCAAGCCAAACCAAACCAAACGGTACCGAACCGAAGCAAATCCAAACCAACCAAATCATCAGATTGGATGGAGCAACACATGAAGGATGCGGGATTCGGAGGAGGCAGTGACGAGGAGTGGTAGGCTCCACCGGAGGAGAGTGGCAACAACGTCCGTTCAGTTCGATTTAGTTTGGGTTACCTAACCCGCAGACAACCAGCTAGCCAACACAACGCCTGACGTGGCAAGGGGGTGTGCCCCATGACGACGCACTCCCATCCGTTGGTCACCAAAAAAAAAACAGAAAAAATTAAATCTTTTTATGGCCATTTTGTACCCTGCAGAGGGCATTACAATTTTCCGTGAAATTCGTTTTGCAAATGCAATATTAGTTGGTATGTAAAGATTTTAACAGAGTAACATAAATGGAATGCTAGTAAAAAATATATGTACCATAACTTTTTAAATTTCCAATTGGCTAATGCACAGATTGTATAATCCATATTTTTGTTACCGCAGCAGATTTTCTACATTCTCTAAGAGTCTTAAGAGTGTAATAAATATAAAAAAATATATTAAAAAGTCAGGAAGAGAGAAATACATAATTATAATTATTATTAATTATATTCTTTTTTAAGTAGTTTACTGATATATAAAAATATATACATTTAATACACTCGCATATCAAAGGGTATCTAGCCATTCGAATACCAATTACAGTTTTTATTCTTTCTCTCACGCACAAAACTTTTTGACATAAGGCCCCCTAACAAATGCGTGGCTAATGGACTTGGCTACAGATATAGATATCGAGATTTATACTCGGACGTGGACGTGGACGTGGACGCGGACACATGAATGTGTGAATAACCGGGCAGTTTTTACAATTTGTCGCCGCAATTGCAGTTGGCCTCTCAGCAAGACTCACCTCAACGCGCGCCTAATTACAATTTGATTGTTTTTCTTTTTCGCAGTAATTATTTCAATTGTAATAAATTTTGTTGCTATTTTTGCGAAATATAATTTTGCAATTTGTTGGCCATGCCTCCTGCTCCGTTGTATGTGCATTTATGTGAACACCTAATAATTTAATTTTTATACCCGTTACTCGTAGAGTAAAAGGGTATACTAGATTCGTGCAAAAGTATGTAACAGCTAGAAGGAAGCGTTTCCGACCCCATAAAGTATATATATTCTTGATCAGGGTCACTAGCCGAGTCGATCTAGCCATGTCCGTCTGTCCGTCTGTCCGTCTGTCCGTCTGTCCGTCTGTCCGTCTGTCTGTCCGTCTGTCTGTCTGTATGAACGCTGAGATCTCAGAAACTACAAAAGCTAGAAGGTTGAGATTTCCCACACATATTCTTTGGCTTCCTACGCAGCGCAAGTTTATTTTAGCCAAGCGCCACGCCCCCTCTAACGCCCACAATCGCCCACTAACGATTTTAAAATGGGTCCTGCGCCCACATCTTTAAAGATTTCCGAAAAGTATAAATGCAATTTTGTTGTGTATATTTATACCTATCGAAATGTAGAAGACATTTTTCAAATCGGACCATTCATTAAAAAGTTATACGCTTTATAAATTGTCAACATATATCTATCTCCCTCGCACTCCCTTTAGCTGAGTTACGATTATTAGTCGGGACACCAACCCGACACAGCGTTCGCACTCCCTTTAGCTGAGTGACGGGTATTAGATAGTCGGGACAACAACCCGACTATAGCGTTCTCTCTTGTTAATTTTATGCTTTCCTGCATTCAATGGGTTTTTGTGTGGGAGGCGGCTGGATTTGGCCCAATTGGTTTGTGCTCTCCGAAGCGTGTGCTCTGCGTTTTGCAGTTAATTTGTTTGGGTTAAATAATTAGCTAACCTGTGGCCGCCTTTTCTGACCAGATTATGTTTACGGTTTAAGCTTCAGTCTACCATTTTCTAGGCATTAATTTTGGGAGGTAATGGGAATAAATTGAGGAAGTTTTTAGGCCTTTTGGTAACAATATCTAAAATTATGAATGATGAGGAAAAAACTGGTTTTCATGGAAGTCTTTTGACCGACTCTGAAAACTTCATGTTTACAATCGTGTTATCGGAAGTTTCAATTAAACTTATAGTTGGATATAATAGTTTGATTCATTACTCATCGATCGGCACAGCTGCATTGAGTTTGCCTTCCCTTGTCGATAGTCTAACGACTGACTAAGCCCACACTCGATTCGATGAAAGGCCCATGTTCGATGCAATAAGACCAGATCATTGGCCAGGCAAAGTTTATCGCCGGGGGCTCCAACAAACATTCAACTCAATTACACAACCAAAAACGCTGGCGAACAAACTGAGAACTGCAAAAAAAATGAATAAAAACAGACAACTGCGGAACAAGGTTAAGGTCAATTACAACAGGCAAAAGCAGCCACAATAACGACAGCGACAACTGCCAGCGATGTGAATAAATTGCGCGTGAAATGTAGAATATAAAATGAAGAACAAGTTTTTTCCTCGCTTCCAGTTGATGCAATAAACATCAAAAGGTGTACGAAATGTAAATTGAAATAAAGTGTTTTCTTCAGTAAAAGTGTCATAAGTCTTTAATTTACTGTAGAATCACTGTGGACGGAAAGGTGGTGAAAGTGCGATCGTCACTGGATTTTGATTTTATTATTATTCCCTGGATCCCACGTAATTAATGAAGTGTGATTAATTATGATTTAAAGGTAATAAAACCTTTATTGTATGGTTATTATGTTTAGGTTCTTGGTAATTTATTAACCTGGTTAATAGCAATTCTACTCTCTAATCTCTAATGAGAATTTAAAGACCAAAGCTAAATTAGTCTGACGGCCGTGTGAAGGAAACATAATGGAAGCCGTAAATTAATTTTGTTTACTTACATAAACAACTGCAAATCAAGCTAGGGAGCCCCAAAAACCGAGTTATGCTAAAGCATAAAAAAAAAGGAAACACAAGAAAAAAAAGAATATTGAGCAATTACCGCAAAGTTCTGCAGTCGCAGTGAGATCTTTTCTCACTGCAAAAGAAGCTGCAAGGTCAGCCGCAAAAACGGCAACCGCAAATTGTCATCTGTAGCAGCAACAGAAAAATCTACACAATCAACAGGAAAATACACAACATTATACACTTGAAATAAAGATCGCAATGGAATCAAACTTATCCCTTAAACTTAGGTATTCTAGAGAATTAATATGCAGATTTTTTAATTAAACTTTGAATGTAAAATGATAATATTTTAGTTTTCAAAAAGCTAGAAGCAATTACAAAAAACTTTAACAATTTTAAACAATCTATTTTTCGTAGTGCAAGAGAACAATTGTTGCTCAATTGCTTGTAGCACCAAAAGCGAATATTAAAACTTAAAAGCGGGTCAGAGACATCTGAGGTTAAAGTTAACGCGACGGCTACTGACTCATTAACTGAGTTAGGGAGTGGTTTTTGGGGGGCATGGAGAGCAAATCAAATTTGCATCTTGACATTAAAGCCAATGATTGGCATCTCTGCGAATCGTAGAAGTACATAGATTTTAATGTTTTTTCCCTCAACGAAACCTTGAACTTTGTATTGTTTTGAGGGGCTTGGTGGTTATTTGAACTAATTAGTGTATTATTTGCTTGCAGACTGCCGTGAAACGGTTCGCTCTAAGCGTGCCAAACGCCCACGAGCTCCGGAGCCCGTGAATTTCGAGCCGGAGCCCCAGCAGGATCTGGAAAATGACGAAAGCGGCAGCCAGGAGAAGGATCTGCCCGAGATCCCGGACAATTTCCTTAGTCCCTCGGTGCGCGAGTACCTCGAGCTGGGCAAATCCATTCCCGGTGAGTTTTAAAATTAAGATTGAATTATCCTTGTCATATTACAATTGTCAGTAAAACCAATATGCATGACCCAAAGCCAAAAAGAAAAACCTAGCATGCCACAACCTCGAAAAAACAATGGAGAAGGGTCCTCTGGCGGAGGGTAATATACTTTTTTTGATCACTTTTTCGGGTAGTCAGAACAATCGGAGCTGAAGATGAGGCGGTGAAATGCATTTCGGGCCATCAGCGACAGGCCAGAAAAAAGTGCACGATTTTAAATTATTTTCCGACGAGCGGAATGGATGGATATTTGGCACAGAAGTGCATCTACTCGTAAATTCATTTATTAGCGCCAGAGACGCGACTGAATCCGGTACGGGGGATTTGTTTATGTCGCGTTTATTTTTGTTTTTTGCTGGAGGGGGGTATCCATTTTTTTGGTGACCCCAGGGGCAGCGCCTGCAGTTGACACTTCTGGGAGGTAGGAGTGCATTTTTTTCGGCAGGTTTCTTTCAAGTAAGGTTGGATGAAGTGAAATTGATTGGAAACCGCCGACTGCGTGACATGCAGTTTGTTTTGGTTTTGGTTCATCGGTTTATTTGCTTCCGAAGAGCACAGCGCCTCACTAATTGCAATAACAAAATCATTTGCAGGTCGTCCCGGCGTTGACTATCCCATTCTGTCGGCGGTGCCGTACACAAACTTTTACTGCGACGAGCAGGAGTATCCTGGATTCTTTGCCGACATGGAGACAAGGTGCCAGGGTGAGTAATCATTATACTTAAAATCAAAGAAAGAATTAAATAAAATAAAATTATAAAAATATAAAATCTTTTCTTTGTTGAGGTAAATAAAAAGATAGTTGATGAATTTAATGACAATTCTAAAACCATTTGTTTTAGCTTAAAACATTTATAAAATAAAATACTGTTTAACTTTCTACTGGAGCTTAATAAACCGTATCAATAATTTAAAAATCCACATAATTAAATTATATTATACTACTGCAGGTTGGCACTACTGCGACATCGATGGACGCCAGGCCTCATTCCTCTGCCCAAATGGCACACAATTCTCACAGGCGGTCTTCGTCTGCGACTGGTGGTTCAATGTGCGCTGCGATCTCTCACCCCGGCTGTATGCCATTAACGCCCGACTCTATCAGCGCCCCAAGGTGAATCCCACTCAACCACATCGCATCATTACCAAACAACTGGTCGACGACATCTTTACCTGAACCCCGAGTGATCCTCTTTTAAATGTAGCTTAAGTTTGCCGATGCCTATTAGTTAATAGATTAGTTCTGATACAAGTTGCTCTCATTAAAATTTAAACTAAGAATCACATTATAAAGACCATTTATACGAAAAAGAATGTGCTAAATATGTACCATTTATTCTTTAAAGACTCCAATCTATGTATTTCCCATAGTTTCCCAAGATAGACCTCTGTATTTTAATTATTGAACCCCAACAAACAAACAGAAATTTTAGAAGTTACGAAATTTTACAAAATTAATTTAAATGTGAATCAATTTTCTACTATTGATTTTATATTTAACATCATTTTGTGCAGGCATTCCATTAGTAAGTTGCATTTTTCTTAGCATATTAGTAGTCTAGAAAAATTATAATACGCATTTAGGATTTGTATATATTTTAAAACTTCATTATGAAATTTAAAATAAAATTATTCTTAAGAAACAAAAATAAATTTTTTGCATTGAATGAGTGAAGAATGGGGTTGTACATCTATTACAAAACATTTTTAAAGTATAGAGAGAATGGTAAAAAAAAATGGGGCATGTTCTATTTTGTAAAATATCTTTTTTTTTAATAAACACAAACGACTACGTTTTCTTTTAATTTTACCATATTATTGGCAATGTCCAGATCGGAGCACTGACAGCTTATAGCCTTTCAATCCACAATATTTTTAAGTTTAATCGGCGAAAATGGGTGTTAGTAGAATTGATTTAAGCAATATTATTGTAAAAGATCGGTGCTTTTATTTATAAAAGCAATATTTTTTTCACAGCTAACTTATAGGCTGAGAGAAAAAGAGCTAAGTTAGGCGATAAAGTGTGGCATACTTTTTCTCCGCTTGTAGCGGATGCAAGCAGCCAAAAATAGGCCAAAACAAAAGCTGAGACCAACACAAGTTGGCCAAAACACGTCATTCGCAGCAGCATCAACGTCAGCAAAAGCAAAAGCAATGGAACGCCTCAAAAGCCCCAAAAAGCAGCAGCTAAAATCGTGCAATGCCCTGACACTCGGCATGCGGCTCAATGGTCTAGGGGTATGATTCTCGCTTTGGGTGCGAGAGGTCCCGGGTTCAAATCCCGGTTGAGCCCGGCTCACAATTATTTTATATCTAACCAACTACTAACTCTTGCGGGCCAAATTTTTATGGCCACGGCCCAAAGTTAATTAAACAAACAAAAGAAAAGCGAGAAGGCGAAATGAGCGATGTGAAAATGCAGATTGCAAAGGCATTTTCGGCCAGGCCAACAAATGAACGAACGTTGCACAGATGGCAACGCGTTGATTGGATGGCAAATAAAATGAAGTAGCAATAGCGGCTTACTAGCGATCAGTGATGCCAATTATCTTACAAGTACCTGTAGAAAAAAATTTTTTCTTTACATGGTATGTACTTTTTTGTAAATAAAATTCGATTTGCTTATATACCTATATTTAATTTTACGTTACTAAATAAAAATATTTCAATAAAATACAGATTTAAGAAGGTAATTAAATATTATCCAGTATGTTTTATTTTTATACTTGTAAAAAAAAGAGAAATAAATTTATCTTGTCGTTGTTGTTAATGATTGTGTTAAAATTTAGTAATTTGGTAATATTACACTCTTGATCGAAAGCTGTACCATTAAATGTGAAGTCATACCGTATTTATTTTTATTAACTATTGGTTTTTCGCAAACTTTTTATGGTATTTAGGTAAAAAGAAGTGGCGCCTGAGACACATCACTAATTGTAATGAAAGGCAGGCCAAGCAGATGACTTTTCGGCTAATACTCGTATTACCACCAACTCTGAGTCAAGCACATGCAACTACTTGTTTGGGGCATTTACGATTGACTTGGCCGATAAGTCTTTGTGTGTTTTATCGCCGACAATTGGAAAATTGAACAATGAGTGTCGCTCTGGGCCCAAAATGAAAATGAAAACTCGAACTCCACGCGAACAGAAAGTGTGAAGACTAAAAGCGGCAGCCGAAAACTCGACTAGTCGTGCTTATGACGTAATGGCCCCCACAAACAATTTCTTTCGGATCATTTCTCAGTTTATTTTGTTTATTTTTCTGGGGGGAAAACCAACGACAAAGCCATCTGCCAGCCATAAATTTGTTTTCGCTTAAAGAATAGAGCCATCATATTTTGTATGGGCCTTACATGGCCGTCGCCGCGAATTATTACCAAATCCAAAAGCAGCCGAATGCAACTCCGACAAAAAATATAAATAAAAACTACTTTCACTAGCGGACGGAGATCGGAATTAAAATCACCCAGCAATATGCAAGTTTTTTGATCCGCGTTCGCCTGATAGCTGACAAAAGTGCGGAGACTGGCGATGGCCTTCGCATCGGGACGAGATGATCGGATCGGATCTGCAGCTGCCTGGAACAAGACAAGATGGCAACAAGTGCGGGCCAGTTGAAGCCACATAACAACCAGCACAACTTAGCCAACTTGGCGAACCAAATTTAGTGGTTAAATGATGCTGCCTAGACACCAATCCATGCCATTTCAAGAAACCACCAGCCTGCCTTCTAGAGGTGGCTGAGATTTCCTAATTTATTATACATTTTTGAAGTTTTTAAGCCACCAGGATAATACGTCGCTATACCTTTTAGAAGTTAAATAAACTAATATTTAGTTTTAATTTGATTTGAAACTGTCATTTTTATTGCCTGTAAAATCATAAATAGTAAATATTTAAAATATTCTTATTTGAATTACTCTAATTTTCATAACATTTTATTTAAGTTTATTGCAAGTAATAGAAATGTAAAGTAATTTGAATCCAACTGGGCGTGGACAAATGTGAGATTTTTAAGGCAATTAGATAAATTGTTTTATTTATTTCGGCTCTCCGGTTTAGTAAATACTTTTCGATATGAGAAAAAAATCCCCTGTCTAGTATTTGTTAAATTCTTTTATCATAAATATTTTGAAAGGCACGATGCCACCACTATTCAATATTCTGACATGCCTTGGCGATTTTCCGACGACAACGACAGGAAAAATATGACAAACGGCGATGGAATAAATCGGAATTCTTGCCACAGCGACGGGCATCGGTGGCGTATGTGTAATATATTTCGTGTACTTTTAGCAAACCGGCGCACGAACCGAAATCAATCCCAAATGCAGTTGAACAAATCACGAGCAGCAAACTGCTGTCACAAGAAGTCTTAACCAGATCGACGGCTAATGATTCGGTTGGAGACCGAACGATTGCAAGGCAGGTGTGGTGCGGCGGTTCCATAACTGTTAATGACTTTCGGTGGCGGCCTCAAAAGTGCATTGGAAACACATTTAATGAGTGCTGAGTGCCACAACACAACTCAACGACTCAGCGGGCATCAGGCTCTGCTGATCAATTGCCTGTTGTTGGTATTGGCCAAGTGAATGTCATTGGCTATTGAAAGTGAATGTTCGTTGCCCCCTGGTGAAAGGATCACTCTTTTGGGGTTTGGGATTCCCACTAATGAGGCGCAGGCGGTGGGTGGGACCGGGCATTCTCAGCATCGTTCATCTGCTAACAATGTTGCAACTTATGCACTGGCAAAGAAATATGTAGAAAATATTTTATAAAAAAGTTTACATTTAAGGAAATTTAATTCCGACAAGTTCTGTATCTCATTTCAAAATATTTTTGTTATGAAATATAATTTTAATTTTTAAAATTTCCATGGAAACTCTTCTTAGATGATCCAAATACAATCGTTTTCGCTTCGTGTACTTTATGAGTTACAATTGTGCAAGCTGCTCAGAAAACAGACAGCGCTTAATTTGCCTATCAATGCTCTTTTTCAATTTACGTGAGGGATTGCGGCATCTCGGAGCTATGAAATATGAGAACCCACCGCTCCAAGTCACGCAATTCAAGTGTAAAATTACATTTTCTTCATTCATAAAATGCAACATGTTGCTTTTGCTGCTGCTGAAGTTGGCAGAGAAAAGCGTGAGCATTTCCCCCTCGTAATGAGGCAACCGCAATGCAATGTTGCGGGTGCTGCGGAATGTTGTGGACTGTTTTGTGGACTGGGAAGGTAAGGATGGGAGGTGGGAGGTATGGTAACCACGACTGTGGCCATAGATGTAATACCAGGAGGCGTGAAAAGTCGGTTATTTGGTCAGTAGTGGGCAACAGCAGACACAACAATCAACGGACCAACACCCACAGACATATCCAAATTGAACAATCAACTAGTTATGTATTAAATCATATGCGTAGATTGCGTTAAAAAAAAAATTTAACATGAGCCTAACATCAAAGTGAAAGCTTTACTATAATCAGAAATTTTAAGAACTGTATGCAATATAAACTGTTATCATTCCAGACGCATTCCTTCTCAGCTTAATGGAAAACTCCGTCATTAAACCCAAAGATTACGAATGTTTCCAGAGCAGCTGCAGTTCATTTATTTATTGTATTTACTCTAGAATATATGACCAACTAAATGCATCAGCTTTCTTGGCTCACAACCAGTAAGGACAAACAGAAATAAGATTTTAGCCACCTGCAACAAATCATGAGCAACCAAGAAACTAAGAAGATGCATTTTGTGCTAGAGATTTTCCCCTGTGACAAATGCTGTTAGCTGTAGTGCCGGGATATATGTGGCCAACAAACCATTACACGCATTGTCAAATTAAGTGTAAATAACTCGGTTGTATCCACAAATAAATCATGGCACTCAACAGAAAAACTCTGGTCGCAGTCACTCAACTGAAGAGCAGAAAACAAGAGGCGGTTAAATCGAACAGAAAGCGGGGTGAGAGGGTAAAGTGCATTTGCATAATGACAATGCAATTTCAAATAAACGCCAGGACACATGTCAACGAATAAATTAATTTACTCTAAAATTATTTATGCAGTAAACAAAGTGAGAGTAGCCCTGAGCAGCACTGTGAAAAAATGTAAGTTTCGAAGTTTTCTAAATTTAATAGATAAATAAGTTCGATTAATAAATTCTCTATTTACAGTTTAAAACACAAGAGAGAACGTCGAGGCACCTGGACTATCAGATACCCATTACTCAGCTAAAGGAAGTACAAGGGAGATGGAAATATGCATCCAGCAAAGCGACTGCTTGCACTGCTTGAATTCCATTATTTGCTCATAGTTTTTTAATGAATC